GTGCACTACAGGAAAAAAAAAAATAGCAATATTCAGTGGCAACAGAAACCACATCCCTATGGACAAAAGGACGGACAGCCCAACATGGCTCTCATCCTTCCCAAAAAGAAAAGTTCAAAGGAACAGCTAGGGCTGCCATCCTGTACTGTGCTCTCTGCAGATTTGGGTAAGTGTCTAAAACCAAGCGTAAGACCTGACTTGCAAGGGAGAAGCATCTAGAATTGAGCCCTGTTTTCTAGTTATTTTTAAATGTTTAGACAGTACCTCAAATACGACCAGTGCTTCGAAAACTTCTAAAGAGTCTGAACCTCACGTAGACCGTGACATTTTTAGTTTGAAAGCATTTGGAACAGAGATTGTATTGTTTATAGATCTGCATATCACCCATTTTAGCTCAAATTAAGTTACAGTCCACTGCTAGGAAAGGACTTTAACACTCCTTACAGGGGGATATCCACAGAAATAAGATTTAGGCTCTCAGCAGTAACGATCCCTGTAACTCAGTAAAACATTTAACATCCCAGAACAGCAAGGACCAGCATATGCCACGAGGAAAGGAAAATGTCAGCTTCCCTGCTTAGAATATGCGTCTTCACACCATCCTTCCCATCTGCACAGCTCCCCAAAATATACTCTCCACCTCTCTTGAAGCTCAAGTCAACAGTCTGCAGGCTTGAACAGCCCACAGGCGATGCTTTTAGCAAGTCTGAGGTGCGTACAGCACATCGCAAGCGGCACAGAAGAAACTTGGGCCACAAGCTGTGCCAGTCTCTGTTTTTACAAGGTTTATTTTTATTTCCCTCCATCCCGCCCAGCTCCGACAGACCAGCTTGCAGTTGTTCTGGCACTGGTGATGGCCTGAAACCGTAAGAAGGAAGCAAGCACAGAGCAGCACTTTGCCTCCCTGAACGCTCTCCCAGGCTTCAGCGATGTGCAGCTCAGGGATTTCTCGGGACAGAGGTGGTTTCTATGCATTTAGGAACCTTCAATAGCTCCTTCTTCTGTGGCACTGCCCTGTGTCCTCAAATACACACAGATGTTAGCCATTCACATCCTGTGGCAAGGACCTTCCCAGGTTAACTGCACACATCAAGGACTAAGTCATTACTTGTTTTTAGGCTTACAACATGCTGGCCCCATTCAATACCTATTTGTACTTATGACTCTTCCATGTGAATGGAAAAGACAAAAAAACAGTTGCTGCCCCTCTAACCTTTCCATGTCATTTAGGATTTTGATGGTAACTATCTCTCCTCTCTTTTCAGGTGGAAGAGTCTCAGTTTATTCCATTTTCTTTGTATAGAAGATACTCCTCACCTTTGCTCATTGCTGCTGCTGTTCCATTTCCAGTAACAGAAAATACCCTTCTTAAAACACAATAATTTTCACAAAGCTGCAGAAACCAAATTCTATATGAGCTGGAGAAATTAGTGGGATGATTAGTAAATATTGCAGGGACTCTCTACCTCCTGTAGTGAATTGCTAGTTAGTCAGTTCTGTTAAAATATACACCCTATAAAAATTGCTCAAAATTACTTTCAAGCCCTAGCATCCAATTACACTTTATTCCTCCAGAATAGGAGGTGTTTTTCAGAAATTCTCTCCCCATTAGTACTTTGAAAGTACAAATAACATTCTTATGCTTGATTTAGCCTACCCGATGAAGGATATCTCTTACAACAAAGGCTGTATGCCAGAGCTCTATTCTGTCATGTGTTCTTTATGAATATTTCAATCTTTTTCCTCAATTATAGACACATTATGTAGTGATTTCCTGATGCCACATAAAATAACGATATCCTTACTGGACCTTGTTGTTATACAGAGTCATATATTTATTTTTAGAATTATTGTTCTTATTGTGACCCCTGCAAAATCCTCAGTGACTTTTTTTCCACAAACGCAGTGATCCTTCCTAATTGCTTCCAACATTCTTGATTATTATAGTGAATAAGAATTCACTATGCATGCATGCTTCGCTTGCTAGGCAACCTAGACTCTCCTGTCAGGCTGAAATATCTGGCTTTTTTGTCCTTTGCCAGTTTCTCTATTAAGAGGAAAAACAAGCATTTCTTTTCTTTTTTTTTTTTTTTAGAAATATAACTAGAATTAGAGAAAAATAAGCAAAGCCGTTAAAACCAAACAATTCAAAAGACAGCAGATTTAGCATTACAACACTTAGTGCTAACAGCATTTTTTTGTTTGTTTTGTTTTGTTTTAAATCAGTCTACCTCACAATTTAGGGCTTTAAACCATTCTCTACCAAGAGTTGGAAGGAACACCTCACCTCACTCCACAAATAACCCATAACTGGTTCTGATAGAAGGGAAGAAGCCTCCTCTCAAGGTGGTGGATATCAAACAGCACAGAGGGCTCAAAAATTCCTCTGACCCAGCTGAGCCCAGCTCTTCCCATCTCTTCCAGTGCATCAAATAGACAAGGCACTAGCTCTTCCTGGAAGCTGAGCTTCTAGAAAACAGTGCAGGAGGACTGCCCACAACTCTGTGACATCAAGCCATGCTAGCCCTGGAAATTACACTAAAAATATATCTGGAACAAAATAAAATGGTTTATTTTCACATAGGCATTCAACTGACTACAGGTATTACCTGTAGTACTTTAAGAGGCAAAATGTGGAAACATATTTGGAATTTTGTCCTTCATCCCACTATGGATATATATATATAGGTCTGCATTAATTTTCCAATGAGCTCAGATACTACCAAAACAAAAATCTAGTTGTTATAAGGTTAAATAATTAAACAAATAGAGCATAAATAGCTAGTAAAGGGCAGCTCAGCATGAAACAGGAGACATCCTGGAAACAGAACAGCAAAACAACAAGATGCAAGACCAGAAAACTCTTTGGACTTGTCTTTCATTGAAACGTCACATTTTGAACTGAAGCAGGAGTTTGGGGTAGTTATGCAGAGGCGTTACAGAGATGAAGGAAGTACATGGCCCAGAAATACCCCAAATCTCACCAATCTGAGTGCTCTGCAGAGAGCACACCACACAGAACTGCTTGCCAAGCATAAAAAGCAATAAGAAAAGCTTCTACAGACAAAATATAGCAGCAGTTTCATGCGGAAAAACATGCCCCCTGCCCTCGAAACCAGACGGTTTCTCCTGATTTTTGCTTTGTACACGGCACAGAAATTGTATGTTTGTTCTTAACGTAAGGAAAAAAAGAGGTGAGACAGAAAATAGGGCAGAAAATCCCCCCTTACACTGTTTGAAAAGGAGGGGAGAGAAGAGGAGGGCCCAAGTAACGCTCTCCTAGGTAACACAGAATCACTACTCCCACTGCACAAGAATGAAGCAGAGCGCGACTTGGATAATAACCGTAACTCACATTTCAGAAGTCAGTTTGTTCAGCCATGATCTTTTGCACTTAAATGGACTAAAAACCATTTCCTCCAGTGCAGTTCTGCTGGGGCACTGTTTCAATAGGATCTGCACAGAATCAGCTGGATATCTCAAGGAATACAACACACATGTAGTGCACAGTACACAGACCTCTGTCCTCCCCACGGTCTTTTATTTTTTACATATCCTGAAAGCGTGGACCCAGAAGAGACTGGCCTGAATTCAAATCATCTCAAGTACTTACTCCTTCCCTATTTCAAACAGCTTTGATTTAGTGGTTTTACTTGAACCACCCAGAGCCAACGAAAAGCTGAGGGAACCAGACTCACCGATCTCTGTACACGTGTTGTACGTACTCGGGATTTATTCATGGAGGCTACAGATCAAAACAGATTTTCCCAAAGCTTGCTCTTTAACATTCAAGATTTTAATCTAGCTCTACTACCAAACTGAAACCAAACAGGCTGCTCACACACAGAAGCCCAGGTTAGGGGTTGCTGTCTGGCTTTGTTCATTGCTTTTATTCTTGTTGAACCCTCCTGCTACTACAGCTGCAGGTCTAACAAGCAGACTACTTTCTGATGAAGGGCTCCTGTACTCCCTGTGCTCTCAAGTGATATCCATCTCTCTAGCGCAATAGTCAGTGACTCATCTGAGGCAGCACCAAGTGTCCAGGTGCCAGGGTTTCACTCTCCAACAAGTCCATGTAGATCTGCAGATCTCCTGCAGCTCATGCAGTCTGGGATCTCTGCTGTACCACCCTACATTTGATATTCAAATTCCTGTATTCAAATTCCACACATTTACTCACAGAGCGCTTTGCCAGGCGAACTGAAGTAGGAGTTGCAGCTATCCTGTTTAACAGGCTGCAGTCTGACAGGAGAACTCAGTTTCAGGGAGACATTTCTTCAAGGGTCTACAGCTGTCAACACCACCGTGCTCAGCCAGCACAAAGCAGCTCACGACACTGTATGGTGACTGACAGCCAGATATGAACATCACCCTGCTCTGGGAGGCTGTCTGCAGGTTTGGTCACACTCACTCGCTCGTTTCTGGCCATAGATCACTATCAGAAAGTAGAATATTTGTTTGTTTCTGTCTGTAGGTTAAACTCATTAGCTTGCATAGAAAAATTTAATTGTAGGTGTTGTTTTACGTTGCAGTGACAGCACCAGAGGTGCAGCACCGCTGCAGTTCGCACATCCTGATAATCCCTCAGGAAAGGGGTGGGGGATGGCAGGGGAGGGAGGCAGAGCCAAGACAAAGACAAGAAAATGGACAGGCAACCTTTGGAGGAAATACGTCTGCTGAGGGCAGAACTGGACACATCACCATTTCTGCTCAACAGACAACTTTTGTCCTTCACAGGAGCTCCCTACCTAAAGGGAACAAATGTGTATTCTCCCATAGCACCACTCACTCTTTCCAGTAGCCCACGTGCCTGGTGAACCCCCTTGTCCACTAATCACAGGCGGTACCATTCATCAGGTGGATTCATCCCGCAGCAGCACCGAGAGGCTGCCGGGCATTACGCTGGCGGCACAAACAGATGATCAGGAACACGGAGGGGCCCAGCAGGCTGCAGCAGTCCGTGGGTGTCCCAGTGCTGACTCCCGCCGCATTTTGCTTACCATCTGGGATCTTGGGAACGCTGAGACACCTTCATTTCTCTTCCTGAGGAGTGTGCCTCAAGCTGGAAAAAAAACACAACACAACGTGAAATGCAAAGACTATTTTTCCAATAAATTAAATCTCTGTTGCACTTGACTCCCGCTGCGGCTCCCTCCCCCCCAAGAAGGCAAGGTCTGGCCAGCTGCACAAAGTCCAGGCAGCCCCGGGGAAAACAATGGGATCTTTTTCTTGCCAGAACGAGCCTTCCCGTTCACCCTTCTAACCATGGCTCGGAGGACACCCCCAGTGTGTCTGCAGGGGAGAGGAGTCTGTTGGCATAGCAACAGTACACCCTAACTCTCTGCTAATGAACAGGGATAAAATGTTTTGTTCTCATTAGGAAAAATACAGACACATTCCTGATTGGTGAGTAATGTCTCTGCCTCTGGGAGATTAGCTCAGAGCTGTGCAGCCTGAAACAGCCTCAATTCAGCCCACTGCCGTGCTTCCCTTCAACAGCCATTCTCCAAGGACCGCACGTCTCTCAAGGGCAAGCCTACAGAGCCTTCTGTACGCTTTGCCTTCGGGCCGAGACAGCTCAAGGCAGGAATAATGAGAGGAGGCTTGACAGGAGCAATGGGAACGCGCACAATGGGAACACACCCCTCCGTCCCCAAAGCCAGCGCTCGCTGGTGCGTTCGCTGCACCTGGGTCCCAAGCTACCGCCAAGAGCTTCTCTTTGTGCTTCCCCCCAGGGCTGCCTCGCACGGGGATCCCACATCTCCCGCTGCGGGGGGAGCAAAGGACAGAGCACGGAGCTGCAGCGCAGAGCGCAGCCGCTGCTACGTGCCTGGGTGTGGGCAGCTGAACAAGGGCTGCTGCCTACCAGGGTTTATTAGGATTCCGGTGTCAACAATCAGTAAGATCCAGCAGGAGGAATCTCTCTGTGCTTGGGTGTTTGCAGAATATCTGCGCGGACGCTTCTCATTGCTCATGTTTGTACCTAGGTGCTGAATCCCAAAGCCTTTGCCCCACACAGACAACGCTGTTCCTCAGAGCCTCTGCCCTCCAGATATAGGGCCAGCACTGCTCGCCCAAGGACCGCAGCTTCTGCAAAGAGGATCCGGGGTGGGAGCTGAGCCAGGCAGCTGATGTACAGACAAAAACCCATCCTCCAGCAGCACATCTGCCACACTATATGGCATCAGCGCCCAGCAGAACTCAGCTCTGAGCCCACAGCTCATCTTTCCTTCACGCTGCTGCTGAGCCCCACTTGCTCACACTGACGTGCCTGGCCTTGGGCTCAGGGGCTGGTGAGAACAGGGACTGCACCCTTCGTCCTTGGGGAGGACTCTGGAGCATTGCCAGGGGCTGAATGAGTGCTCCGAGCCGCTCCTGCCCCTGTGGTGGAACTGGTGCTGGTTGGGGGCACCACACACACAGCCGTGCCCAGCTCTGTGTCAGCGCCTTCCTGCTCCCCCAGCACCACTGAACGGGGACTGGGGAGCGAGGGAGCTGCAGTATGCACTCCCACTCACATTAGCTCCTTTCCCTGACCCCTCAAGCTCTTCCCAGCCTTTTTTGCTCCTCAGGGCTTCAAAGAGCTCAAAATGATGTGACAAAAGGCAGGGTGAGGATCAGGGACGAAGGGCCCTGCTACCACACGCCTCTGAGAAACTTGCACGCCCTGTAGGAAACAGCACTGCTGGGACTCGATTGCAACCTCACACCCAGCTGAGGAATAATTTATTTCCGTTGCCTAGGCAGGGACCTGGCTGCCTGCAAGCCCCCTCCGTCTGCCTGAAGGGGGGCAATAAATCCACCATCTCACCCAGGGGACAGCAGCCGAACGGCGACAGCGCCGGCCCTGCCCTGCAGCCCCGCTCGCTCCCCGGCGCAGCATGGAGCTGGAGGGGCCGGGTGCTGCCTCCCAGCCTCCGCCACTGGCAGGGTCCCCCCCTGCCGGCCCCGTCCTGGCCGTGGGAATGGAGCTGGAGCTCGGCACCCCGAGGTGGGCTCACCCCCAGCCGCCGGCAGCGCTTAACTCCCTCCGCGCTGGCGGGCAGCGCTCCACAGAGCCGATGGCTGCCTCGCTGCTGGCTCCATCATCCCCAGGACTGTCCCCATCCCGCTCCCCCAGCCGCCACGTCCCCTTCAATGCCAGCCCCTGGGGTCTGGGCAAGCTGGGGTGTGAGGAGAGCCAAGGCACAGCTTGTCAGGCGTTTGTGTCCTTTCACGCCACACAGAAGCCCTGGGGAGCAGCCCTCGCTCCTCTGGTCAGGCCAGGGCCTCAGCCGTCCCCCGGCGTGTCAGGAGTTAAGTTCGCATTTCCATTCTCCTGACCCGCACCAACGCCGGCTGAATATCGAGCTATTCTTTGCAGCCTGATAAAGCATGAGAAAGCTGAAGGCCTCACACACTCCTTTCACAGCTTGGCCGCCTGCCCGCGAGCTGTCACTCCCTGGCACTCGGGGCAGGGGGAGCGGAGGAGGCCGAGCCGCAGCCAGCTGTGGTGAATCATGGCCCGGCCCTGCTCCCCGGGGAGCCGCATCCTGCCCGCGGACCCTGGGCCTGCTGCCGTCTTTCACGGAAGCCATCCTGCCTGCCAGGGGGTCCCATGGCCACAGCCACGGTGCCCAGTGGCTCCCAGTAAGAGCCCAGCGTGAGTGCGGCTCTGCCCAGCAGCTGGGTGGGAGCTCGCCCGCAGCACTGCTGCGCCTGGTCTGGTGCTGGACACTGGTCTGAATGACAGGGAAATCCCAGAGAAAGGCTCAGGAACAGGATCTGATTTGAAGGACAGTATTTACCCATCCATGCACCACTCATGCAATATTCATTTTGGGTACTGATTCCCACTGCAGCCCCTTCCGAGCCCCCTTCTCCCTGTCACTACCATATCTAACCCAATAACCATGTCTGATCCAAGCTGCTCCGACCACACCGACACCCAATCTTGTTTATTTTGATGGGTTCCACCAGCATGGTTTTCCCCGTGCATTCTAACACACAGCACCAGCAGGAAACACACCCAGATCTTGGGGTCAACAGTCCCAGTCAAGAAAGCAGCTGGGATGGCAGAGGAGCACCAAGGCCATCGTGTGCCTGCCTTGTGCTAGGGGCACATCTTTGGAGAGCGAAGCCTCTGCAAGGTAAAGACATCAGCTGCTGGCTTTCTAAGGAAGGGATGTTCACAAACTCAACCCCTTGGACCATCAGATAGAGTATGAACTACTGCGTGGCACAGGGGATACTTCCCCCCATCCATTTGTTTCCCGCAGAGACGGGTGCTCAGTGCACAGCAGGCACAGCCTCTGCCAGATAACGTTACATATGGCTTGCTTTATCCCTTATGAGACATTTATGGCATGTTGTAAGGATTCTGTTGCACCTTACACATCTGCACCAGAAAGCATCTCTTCCACAGCACCTGCAGCTGCACAGCCAGCATACTGATTAACACACGGAGCATCCAGAAGTTAGCAAGTTCTGGAAGTCTGGTTACCCCTCGTGCAAAGCAAATGAAAACCCTCCCTGGCCATACAACACACAGATTATTGAGCTGCAGGAACGCCTACACGTCCAGCATCGCCCTCCTCTGCCACAAGGATCTCTAAATGCAAAGCTTAATAGAAACAGTTAACACCCTGAGTGCGGCTCAGAGCCATCTGAGCTCTCTATGTAATATAATCCCCTTAATAACGCCCAGAATAGCACTCAGGAGTCCTGGCACAAACTAAGACCTCACTGTACCGAGCGTTGTGTAGATAGCTGTAGCGGTGCCGTTTGCTCTTCTGTAAAATTACTGAGCACCGTACACGGGAACCAACCATAACCCGTACTTTACAGAAGTTAGGACACAGGAGAGCAATGTATACTTTTCAGATGTCTTTTTCTGGCAGCTAAATCAAGCGAGCAGCCAGGGGGAGGGAGGCAGGAACACTGAGGTTACTCTCTCCCCGCAGCAGACAGGCAAAAGCCCAGTTCAGCCAAAGCTCACTGAGGCTCTTTATGTTCCTGGCCAGGGACAGAGGTCACTTGTAGAAGACTGAACCAGGGCTGGTACGGGACTGCCTGCTACGCACGCAGGCACAAGAACCCGAGCCGTACCCATCTCTGTTCTTTTGGGAGCCCATCCCAATGCTGCTCGCAGCGCCTTCACTAAAAACACGCCTTTTAGCTCCAAACTAAAGTTTGCTTTGAATTCCTTGCGGTCTGAAGAAAAGAAACCCATACACAGGGTCTGCGAAGAAAGTAATTACTTCTTTGTGTTAGCCAAAACATTTAGGCACATGGGATAATTTCCGACAGTAAGCACAGATTAGGTCCATCTCTGAGTTGATCTTCCTGAGGTTCTCAAGGTTCACACCATGCAGCGGGTGCCACAGTCTGCACGTACTTCCCAAGCATCCAGAAGTCACAGCTCTGCAATTCATTGACTTTCAGAGGCACCAGGTCACACTGTCTGGCCTTCAGCTGATCAGTTCACGAGCTTTCTGCACATTTCTGGCTTGGGGACTGCATATGTTGGAAGTGAATAGAGTCTAGATGCCTTCTGGCAAGATGCCTGAGGCAAAGGCCTCAAGAGAAAAATCTACCATTTCCCAGGCTGATACAAACGGGCAGGCATCCCCTCGCTTCAACTTTTATTCCCTGTTTGTGAAAAGGCTGGTTAGGGAGCTGGCAATTGCGAGGGGGAACAGAAGAGCTGTAGGCTCCAGTACAGTTGCAAGCAGCACGCTCTAACAAACATCTCACAAGGGGAAACAGAAGCAGGTAGCCGAGTACTGAAAAAAAAGAGTCCTCTGCAGAAACTGGGTAAATACCACTGCAGAGGAATCTCTTAATAAAGTCGCTCCTTCCGATCTGCACTAACCTGAATGCCGCCCCGAGGCAGCGAGAGAAAACACTGCTGGTAAGCAGGAAGGGGCTATGTACAGGCACGAGCAGGAAGAGCTGTGTTTGAAGAAGGACATTCTCTCAGCTAAAAAAAGCAGGGTTTTTAGTGCTGTTTTGCCTTTCCCCCGCTGTTTTCCCAGCAGACAGCAATCCCACCAGAGCCTGTCCCGCCCCAGGATGGGGCTCCCCAAGGGCTGCTCGAAGGGAAAGGGTCAGAGCCAAAAGGGCCCTAAAAATGATCCTGCAAAGGCACCAGTGCCAGCATGTTCTCCTGAGATTGACAGGACGAGAGGAGAGGCAGGAAGAGAAACTTTAACAAAGCTGTTTCTTAAACCAGCTTTACTGGAACACAGTGGAACAGGGTAGGGCCATGCGCGAGGGGAGATTGAACAAGTTAATAGCTAACCAGCAAAACTGCCACCAGAGACCACGAGCTAGGAGACATTTCAGCAAGAAACACCGAGTCCCAAACTGCCCTCCACAACCTGACTGGGAGCTGCTGCTGCCTCTTTCTTCACTGTTGCAATGTGATCACAGCTACAGCACTATCATCACCCCCTGAAATCCCTGTTTCTCTAAGAGGAGCTCTTACCCAAACTAACCACCTTGTCCCATTTTAAGTGCCATGATCGATAAGCATCTGAGAGTCTGGTTTCTGGCCTTGGCACTGAAAGGAACAGCTGTGAAAAACGTTAGCAGAGATTTCTGCTACAACACCAGGGAGCGGAGTCTTCCAGCTTCTTGAAGAGGTAGCAGGTACCAGGACAACCCAGCACAGAGGTGCAGCAAGAGCAGAAATGGAAGTCCCACTGCTGGGGTGGACATTCCCTGTGCCATCGGTGGGTGAAAGGGTGAAGCTGGCTGCTGCTTTACCTGTAGTCACTCAGGAGACAAGCCACCAACACCTACAAAAATTGCACTGCTTTCATGAAGAGCAGTTTCCAGGAAGATTTTTCATGAGGATAATCTTGGCGATTGGTTGAATAACTTCTTTGTTCCAGAATACATTTTTATTTTTTTTTTTAAAGGCAGGGAGCCTCCGTACTATTGCTTTGCCATTCAAGACATTGTCATTGTCACCTTTCAGATGTGTAAGCGTAAGAGACAGCAGCAGCTGAGCTGCAGTAATTAGGAAGGAGAGAAGTACAGGCCTCCTCTCACATCTTTCTATTAAGATGCAGTTTACACCTTGGCAGGTTTTTCAGTCCCCAGTGAAAAGGTGCCATCTGCATCTGCTCCAGCAAACCATCCTCATTTCGGGACTCTTCAAATAGTTCTGGAAAAAGCAGTGTTGCCTCTCCTCACCCTGCTCTCTGTCAGGCCGAAATGCAGCCACAAAACCATTAGTTCTCTTATCTCCGGGAACACAGGAATTCTGGCTCTAGACCTGTTTCCATGACACCTACTTCAAAAAGTTTCCCATTTTATTCAAGCATCTACTGAATTAAAACTTACACTGCTCTCTCCACTTGCAGCAGGGAAGCCGAGAAGGATGGGACCGAGCTCATTTAATTCTATTCACAAGCTCCCTTCCTGAGGAAAGCCAATAACTTTCGGAGAGTCTCTGCAGACTTTGCTCCACCGCTTTGCACGCTGAAGAATGGCTGGTTGGTAATCCTCTTTTCACTCAGTGAGCACAGACCCAAAGGTTTTCATCCCTGTGAGCTCAGAAATTTCCATTTCCATTTAAGAGAGACATTTTCCTGGCAGTTCTCAAAAGATGCATTTGTAAAATAGGAAACAACCTCAAGGAATGCTAAAGCAAAGGAAGAAAGCTGGACGTGGACACTCTTTCTACCTCAGCTAGGAAAGGAAATTCCTTCCCAGCGCTGATGCCCCATAAACACAGCCTACTCTGCAACTACCAAATACTGGATCGACACAAAGCGACCGGCTGCCCACGCTGCCCTGTGCAAACACCCAACAGTTTCCGCAGTCTTGCTTTCAGATCAGCTGGGGTAGCAGCCACCAAAAATCACAGAAGAAAGAAAAAGTTCAGACACATACAGTGCATATGCCAGACAAGAAAGGAAAATATGGGGTGCATGCAGGACAAATGGGACAAATTTGTGGGACAAATTACGGAGAGGAAAGGGTATTCCAATGAACTCGCTACAGAATATGCACTTGCCTTGGTGGTTTTTAAACTTGTGGCTTGCAGACTTTGGTTGTCTGTAAAGGTAATTAAAAAAAGCAAATTCATTGCCATATCTCTAATAGAAAACGTTTAGAAGTCTGCGAACCCAAAGAGGTTGAAACTTTCTTCTTTCAAGTGCAAAACATTCAGATGGCCCACAGCCAAGTCCCAGAAAAAAGCCCTAGTCAGTAACTCCGGAATGCCAGCTCTTAACACAAACCAAAAGCACACAAACCCTCCGCTCGGGCAATTCGGTGTCATCTCCCACCAAAAAAAAAATCACTTAAAATTGCACTCCTAAAATTCCAGCTATCATCCACCTCCCTGACTCTGCACCAGGGCAGCCTAACAGGAGCTCCCTGAAGCCGTCAGCTGAGCGAGCCATTTTTCTTACCTTGCTTTGGGGAATTCCTGCTTCGAGTCTGTGTAAAGAGAAACGAGAAGGCTTCACGCCGCTCCGGGCAGGATCCCTTCCATCACTCCCAGCTCCTTAGCAGAGGCATTCCTGAGGCACACTGTGCCCTAATAAATCAACACAGCCGCCCCAGGTTTCCCCGGCAGCTGGAGTTCTGCAGGAAAGGCAAACATCTCCCCAGCTAAAGCAAACAGGGCTGCAGAGCCCCTGCTGAGCACATGGCTACTGTCAGAAGAGGGACGGAGGGAGAAGGTGGAGATCAGAAGGCATCTGGCTGACAAAAGCCAATCCAGCTCGGGGGCGGAAGATGGCCATGGTTCTGGCCCTGACCTAGGCATTCCTCTGACCAGGGATGGGCTTGCCAAAACATTTTATCCGAGCAAAAACACAGCACTTCGCTTTCAGAGCAATGCCCATCCTGCTCCTGACGTGCACAGTGCTTCTGCCTTTATGAAGAGCAGTTACTTTAGCATTTGGGATCCTCATGTAACAGACCCTGCACAAGTACAGAACAAAAATAGCCCAGTCTTAAACAGCTTATAGCTTAATTCTAAAATAAACGAAGACAAAGGAAATGGCACTGATCAGTATGGCCAGCAGTGAGCTCAGCAGAACAAGGACGCTGCTGTTTCCAGGGGCAAGGGAGAGGTGGGATTTTTTTTTTTTTTTTGAACTATTTAACAGAAAAGACCCAATGAAGGATTTTCAAAAAGAATAATTAGGTGGGTTGGCATACATTTACGGGCCAACCATCTCTCTCCCAGAGAAACCAAAACAGTATTTTTCAAAAGCAGCGCAAGGAAACAACAGGGGCTACTGTTACCAGACAGAGCAGCAGACAGAGTCCAACTTCCAGCACCAAAGGTTGCTCGATTGCACGCGAACAGAGAGATGGGCTGCTCCAATACCTCTTTTTCAGTTGCTTTTGGCGAGTACGGGAAGGGAGTAGCCAAGGCAGGGCTGAGACAGCGAAACTAAAAGAAGAGCAGGCACAAACCCACCAATACCTTTAGAACAAACCCCGTTTACTAAAACAAAGGCATCTTCTCCAAACACACGCTGACAGCTGGGGTAAATATCCGCATTTCATCGCCTCCCACTCCCAGCCATGGCCTCCCCGCGGGGGGTTTCCAGGCCAGCCCCAGCACACCGAGGAGCGGTGGGAGCACAGGATGAGTGCCAAAAATCCCCCGTGGGTCAGGCCTGAGCTCCACAGCACACCCAGGTCTTCGGCTGCCACGGCATCATCCAGCCAGCCTCCCCTCTGAGCCCAGGTGAAGGGGTATTCTCACCCCATGGGGAACCACCAGCTCCCAGCCTACAGGCAACAGCTTCCTTTAAGGGAAACCAGCTTCTCCTACGTGTGGTTAATTGAGGGAGGGATGTGTATGTGCGCTGAGACACACAGCAGGCAGCGGTGGGGTGGGACACGGAGCCCCAAGCTTATTTTGACCTTTTGGTTAAAGATCCTGCAAAGAGGCACTGCTGCAAGCCTGATCAGATGTCTGGGGGAAAAAACAGAGAGCAAGGCATTGCACAGGAGTGACCAGAGTCCCAGTATGATCTGGATATTCCCACCCACATGTATGGCCCCAAAAATCCAGAGTTCTTCAGTGCAAACATGGGCAGCAGCAATATGAAACCAACGTGTTAATTAGCAGCCTGCAGTCCGGCGCAGGACAGAGATTGCTGATCTTGGCTATTATACAGGCAGTCAGAGGCCAAACAGAGCAAGTGCCACATTAGTTAACCCATTCGGAACAAAGTTAATAATTGGCTAATTGTGGTTCCTGGAATGGACAGACCAAGGTCTGGTTTTTAAACCTCTTTTCTCAGAGGTGTCTTAAAATGCACTTGGTACAGCAAGTCCCCCACCACACACACACCTCTGCTCTTTATTAACATCCACTCTCAGTTTCGATGGTCAGATTAAATTCAGGGAAATCCACTGGCTTGCGTTTCCCAAAGGATCAGACAACATGAACTCAATGACTTAACTGCCTTTGACAAACTATAAACTAGTTTTCAGCCTGTAAACAATCACAAGTTATTATGAAAGAATCGTAGACTAAACTACGATGTTTATCAGATTTACTTATATGAGATTTTTGACATTCAACAGAGGAGATTAATGAAAGAAAGTATCTCAAATGGCTTACGTGCAGCTGGAATTTAACAGTGCTCCTCGATGCAGATGGTGGTTTGCATACCAAATGCTTAATAAAAACTGTACTTTTGTAGAAAGTTTGCAGTCAGTAAAGCAAGCACCACCAGATAGGTTAGGTAGGGAGATCAGCCTAACAGAAATACCGTGAGAAGCATCAAGAGGATTTTATCCTCAGGATGCTGAAGTGCAAACCTCGAGTTAGGCTCTTCACGTGCAGGATGTACCAGTCCCACTGCAGAAAGTGCAGGGACACAAGGTTTGGGAGTTAAGAAACAGGGATGAGGAACACCGCTGTGTTAGCCTTGAGGTTATTCTGAAGCACAGAACAGAAATCACTGCTACAGGACCGGTCTGGGCTGTGTCATTCAAGGTTAAGACCACTCCGCACAAGGCACACGCCGTTCTGCTGTACCACCTGCACCCCCACAACACCCATAAGGTCACCGCCTTCCTAGCAGCGTGCTCCAACAGCTCCATCATTCTTTCTGGCAATAAGGCCAGCCTAATTTCTCATTTGTTTGCCTTCTGCCACGAGCCATTAATTTCTTCTCTGCTGGATTAAAGTTCCTCGGAGTCAGTTACGCACGCGCTTTAAGCAAGTCACCTCTCAGTAGGTTTTGGCAACCACCAGATGAGCCCCAACAGGTCCCTCCCTATAAAGCACCTTTCTTTGGCTCTTGAATAACTTGGGACTTTTTTTTTTTTTTTTTTCCCTCTGTTCAGAACACCAGTGTGATTGTCACCTCCACCCCCTGCCGTCTTCTCCAGAGCCACTGCTTTGGTGAAACACAGCCGGGGAGCGCGCAGCATCGCCGGCACGCCGAAGCCTCTGCTTGCCTGTATCAAATGGATGTTATTTCACTAAACCCGTTCTGCAGCATAACGGAGGAGCTACAGAAATCACAGTCTGCAAAGATTGTATCAGTGAGCTAACAGTCAATTAGCTGAGCGTAAGGAGCACATGTCTTTCTTAGACACCATGTAAGCATTGCTCCAAAAGCTCTAAGGAGAATTTCACCACCCGGTCCCCGTTCCGCCTAACACTTATGTACTACTCAGGATCTTCGAGCGAGAAAATACCCACAGACCTGTCGTTTCCAGCCACAGTTCTGAATTCTCCATCAGCATTGTCTGCTTCTCTACTGAACTAGCAGCGGCTTTAGATTTATTTCCAGAAAACTGACAAAGTCCTGAACAGCACAGAGTGCAGCGCTACCACTCGCTGAGGACACCCCCAGGAATATTTCCCTTTTTGACACATCCCCAGTAACCCATGATTTCAGAGGCAGCCTTTTTTTTTTTCCCCTTTAAATAATCATGAGGCACGCTGTTGATGTTGGCACAGATCAATTATTTAAACCATTGTATGGCTCCAAGTCAAACACCTTCAGAAGCACATTACACGAATGCAGTCACCTGCTGCCGTTGTTCTCACCTGGCTCTTCCCAGCCGCTCTCTCTGATAATTAGCACAACCCTCTGTATCTCTCAGAAGCGGTAACTACCCCTCATAAATCTCCCCAGAGACACGAGCTATTCGAGATCACGGCACAAAAAGCATTAAGCCTTTGTGGATGTCAGCCAACGCCCTCCCCGACCTCCACGCCACGAGGACTTAGCACCCTTGCCGCTGCTGTTCCAGGAGAAAACAGACATGCAAACCCTTCTGTTTTTCCCATCCCCATTTATGAAACGAACAGATGCCCATTGAATTTCCACCTCCGAGCAGCATTCCCACTTAGTGACCGCCCTCGTGTTGTGCTGCATGCCCAACGTGCCTCCGAGCTGGAACGGAGCACGAGGCAGGGCGCTTACACCCTGGGTGCTGGCAGGACCACGGCTGAGCCTTGGGTGCTGGCCGGCGGGGCAGCACAAAGGGCTGTGCCCCTTCCACCTCTCACAATAAAACATCTCTGAGGCAACGGTGAGACACGTGGCTTTTTATCAGCCCTGAACTCGGTATTTTCAAAGCAAGAAACAGACTTACTGCTGTGAACGCCCCAACCCAGCCACGGGGAACGCCAGCAGCTGGTGCCTGCCAGGGACGCTGTCCTCCCGCACGGATCCTCAGCATCGCTCCTCGTCGCAGCGACACGCAGCCTATGGAAAGCTGGTGGCAGGGAAGGCTACCCATTGGTGTTCACGGCAGAAAATCCGCCTGCGTTTATGCATGACTGCTCAAGCGAACCGTGCGACCGCTTTTGTTGCTCCCAGTGATCTATTCTTTCAGTGGGAACGCCAGGAGGAAGCCGTGCTGGGCACTGGGCAGGGAAAAAGCCCTGTGGACACAGTGAATGGGGCAGAAAATTCCCCTGCAAATTCGGTCAGGTTATTTGCAGCGATGCTCCGCATTGACTTTTCTAGCAGCTTTTTGGGACACCTTCACACATCAAAGGCCAGGCCACACCACGGTAGTCATTTTGACTAAAGCTACTTTAGAAATTGATTAGACTATTGATTTTCTCGTAGTTTAGATAGAGACAAAGTGACCTTTACATCCCACAAAAAAACAAAGGGAATTAACACATGTACACAATGAACCTTCATTTCAAACAAATTGTTTCGCTCCCTTAGAAGACAAGTCCTGTAACACTTTTTTCTTGCCTTGCAGATCCCAAAAGAACAATTCTCCTTCCCCCACCTCAGCTTTCCAGCTTTCTGCCCCAAGCAGGCCAAAAGGACAACATGTTTCAGGCATATACACAAGACCAGCCTGAAGACAAACACAAGACAGATCTATAGACCTACAGGTCACGAGGTGATAAGGAAATCAGGACTGAATTGTACATTATCAGTTCTACCTCAGTCTTACCCGCAAGTAAAGTGGACAGTGCCTGCTGCAGAGATAACAGCTTCATAAGCACTGAAAGTTTAAGGCTTTCTCTGTAGTAAAAAAAGCTTTTTAAGATGTATTCTCTGTTATACAGCGGAGTAACAAGGATACTTTGTGTGTTTCTACTAGCTGAAATCATTTCCCTCGTGAATCAAATCACTACGTGCATGTGATCTCTACCTGCTCAAAAGAAGCACGCTGCATTTTGGGGTAAGTTCCACCATGAGTGGAACTGCAGTCCCGGAGCTGGATGGCCA